AAAAAAAAATCCCAGAAATTTTTGGACTGTTAGGAGGAGTTAGTGGTACGATCTCAGTTCTTCGATTTTTGGTTTCGAAACGATTGCATGCCTCTCCAGTTGGTGAGATTGCTTTTGAGAAGCTAAACACAGGGGATGCTAGGGGTAAGTTGCCGAGTGGATAGGCTGATCTATACTTTCGGAGTGATTTTCTTGTTTACCGTCGCGTGTTATTCATCTGAATGGGAACAATTCAATCACAGAGTAGGACCCGCAATCTGATGAAAAATCGGTAGTTTTCTTGGGGCTTTTGAGAAGTGTACTTGATTTCTATCTAACCCAAGATAACAAATATGCTCTTAGAGAAGTGGCGGCGCGCCAACGTTTCTGAGATTCGAGCGCGAAATTTGAAAATCAATTGTTTGTGCAGCCGTGGATGGCAGTGGTCTTTTTAGTGATTTTCTTCACATATTATTTTTCCTTTTTCAGGCAGAAGGTACCAGCTAATCACTCAAACAGGTGTTAGGTCGCCTATCTCGTATGGTATCAAAAAAACGAAAATACAAACAGGTGTTAGATCGCCTATCTCATATGGTATTAGAAAAAACGAAAATACGAGCGAATAGACCATTCTTTCACCGTATGAGATAAACAGCCAAACAACTGCTTGAGTAGTCAGCAGCCAGAAAAGAAAAGAACTTTAAAGAAAAATTGTAAAAAAACCTACATATTACCCTCCACTGTTGCGCTAGCTGATTCTCGTATTTCCTAAGCCTAAGCGCATCGTCCCTTTGTCTGCAAGCGTTCTGTTATGTCTTAGGAATCGAATAATAACACCCGCAACGCGTTTACGATTGAACACTTCGCTTGTTGGAGGACGGGGGTGCGTTGTGGGAAAGTCCGTAGCCGACATGTGGATCCTTTGCTTGGAAACATAGTAATGGATTATAGATATCAATCTCTTCGACCTAATTTTCCATCTAAGAGATGTTTCAAATCATTACATTGATCATATGCTGACTGATCTCAATTTAACCCTAACGAATCCCTTTTTCCTGCAAGACATAGCCAAAGTTCGGAAATACCCTCGTTACCGCTATTTTTTCTGTTTTTGATACAATACTACAGAAAACTTGTAAAAGCTTGTGACAGTCTAAAAGAATAGCATTTGCCGTAATAGTATCCTTCGTTTCACTTGTTTTTTCAGTCTGGATCCGATTCGGATGGTGAAAGTACAAGCATTAGAAAGAGTAGTACTAGCTATCAAGCGCTTGCAGAGAAACCACAGTTCAGCCTTAAGCAGGTAGGCTTTAGTCATCAGCCTTTGATGAACAGTAATTTATTACTTTAAGGTGCGTATGATTTGCGAGCGTCTCCTCAAGGAACAGGAAATGCGCCTTCGATACGAGTATGAAATAGCACTGAATCAAAAACTTGACGGTTAGTTGGTATTCATAATACTTTAGAAGACTTAGTTTTTCTTTGTTAATGTTAAGTTGTCTATTTCTAGAGCAACACGAGCAGTACGTTCAATTTGCCAGTGAACAGATGACATTGCAGTACAAGGAGAACTCTGCTGGCGAATTTTCATATCTTTCATAATTTATTGGCTCAATACCTTGCTGTGGATTTTGAGCATTATGTGCTATGAATTTGTTTGATCGCTGATTCAAGTCATTCTACTTTCACAAGCATATGAACCTAATTGCCGTCGTTATATAGTGTCTTGGAATTCAGGTCATCTATTATTTTATGTGTATATATCTTCTATCTATAGGTTGCTGCCTGCTGCCTTTCGTGATTTGAGCTCTATTCTTTATCTGTAATTCATCATGAATGGAAGCTTGCATCATATTCCACATTACTATTGTGATTTCCGCCCCCTTCTCATGTCTTGCTTGTAGTTTTACAATGGATATGATAATAAACCTTCATTTTCAACTTTACTGCAGGACTGAATGATATGGTTACATATTACCGAGGTTCAGTGTCTACATTTTATAGGTTAGTGACCAAGAGAGGGCTTCTATTCAAAAGTGATTTGAAGTGCTTTCAATTCATTTGGATTTCATTAGACTTCCCTGCGGCTGAACAATAAATTAAAGATGGAGGTTGTGGGATTGGTATCGGGTGGTAAGGACAGCTGCTACAATATGATGTGCGCCATTAAATCCGGCCATAGGATTGTCGCCTTGGCTAACCTCCATCCAGGTGATCGCGAAGAGTTGGACTCTTATATGTACCAAAGTGTCGGCAGCGAGGGTGTTTATGTACGTGTGTTCCAATACAAGAATGATTCCGAGCAGTTCCTCTTGTGAGCGATGTGTAAGCAATATCAACCCTCTAATCCTAATAGTCAGTTCGTTGCTTCTTTGATAATGGATGCCAGGAACGTTCCTGTAGTGGACTTTATAATGTAACCGATTGTGTGGCTTTTACTCAATCTTTCTCCAGATGCTTGCTGAAGCAATGAATATACCATTATATAGGAGAGAAATCAAAGGCAAACCTCTCAATCAAAACTATGAATACAAGGTGAGTCCCCTTCTCACTTTGTTTGAAACAGCTGTCATTCTTATTTGTTCTTTATAACAACCCAAACCTTTAATGGCTCGTTATTGTCACTCTATTTTCCGCTTATAAGCAAATACTTCTACTAATTAATTAAGGTTTTACTATGATATTAATTTCTACGAAATTCTCGTTAGCGAACCTCAGGAGCGGTCTCCAGTAGTACATAACTCTTCTTTCTTACGCTGTAGTCAACTTCCCTCGAAATCAATCATGCTGGAGTACAAGTTTTTTTTTGCATTTATTGAAAAGTCTTTTTCTGTACGACGTTTTTTTCTCCTTTATCTTTGAGTTAGACCTGTTTTGTTA